GTTACATGATCCCTGAGCTGGAGCTCCCTGGATCCTTCTTTGAGCTGTCCTCCTGATTGCGTGGCTGCTCTTCAGCACACATCGTGCTCATTGCTCATTGCTTTCGCTCTTCCTACAGCGATGGCCACCGGCACCAGCACCAGTGAGCCATCCTCTGTAGGTCATACAAAATCAAAAAGTCTTGACCATCTTGTTTTTCCCTTTTGTAATGCAAGGGACCACCACCCCTCCTTTCTTTAGTCCTTTGTTTGTTCATCTCTTTCGGCTGCACACCAAAATCATGATGGTGCGGGAATGGTGCACTGCAATCCAGGCTCTGCTTTTCAGACCTCAGACATTGCAGCAACATAAAACCCACCATTAGACTGGGTGTACACACTGGAAAGTATTAACAGGGATCACTTGATAAAAGGTCCTGGTCACTATTTTCTCAAGATGTTTTGTCCAAGCACTGACATTTTAGTGAAACTGAAGCAATATATTCAGTTTCTCTTAATTCTTTTGTGCAATTTCTGCCTCAGGGTGTTATATATGACTACTGCGTGCTGTTAAATACCTGTTGTGTTTTATTCCAAGGTGACTAAAATAATTATTTTTCTAGTTACTAAAGCATTTGGAAAGCTTCCAGGATGAAAGTGAATACAGAAATGCCAAACATTTACTATTTAATAGATAGCCATCAGTGCTTTATGAACTATCCCATTATACTCAAAAAATATCATTGTGGTTTCACAAAGGGTCTTGAGAACATTTGCTTTAAATTGAAAGACTCTATTTGTACTATACCAAGAACAGTGTTAATATCGATCCAGGTTGCTCTATGGAGCAATCTAATCTTTTCATTGTGGCGCTATTGAAAATCTGGTCTAGTGCACTGGTAAAACTGCATCTTTCAAAGTTACCAACATTAAAAAAGCAAATCATTACATTTTTCATTAATTAAAAAAGGCTTATAATAGCATTAATGATTCTTTCATCGGAGTGTGTCATTTAGGTAATGGCAGCCTAGCACATTAACTTCCCTCGGCTTTGCCTTGGCCTTTTAACTCCTCCGACTGATTATTACCTAATTTGTAAAGTCTCCCAAATGGGTCATTAGCTCTTAAATACATTTCTCCTGCTGTTTGGTATATACCCTAGAAACAGTAGGCTGTCAGGGAGCTAACTGGTTTGGAAGTAGCTCTTTCTGGGAAAAAACAAGTTAAAGAAATGCCAGATTAAATTAAGTCTGCAAAATGAATCATGGCTTGAAATATCCCCGATACATGATTAACTAAGACATCACACAGAATTTATTTTTTTCCATAAAAGAGGACTGGCATCAGTGCATATGCAAGCATATGTGCCCTTGGAAGCACCTGCAACTCCTGCTGCTTTCAACTCCTAACAGTGCTTGTGCAACTGGGCACTCATCTAAAGTGCTGAACTCGGAAACCAAGGAGAAAGGCTGACGGGACGAGGTCCTGTGCTCCTGACACAGTGACCTTCCTGCTCTGCCTCCCCAGCTCAGCCTAGAAATCATGAGCCGAAGACAGAGCAACCTGAGACCACAAGAAAATCGGTACCATTTGGTCCAAGTATATGAACTGCCCATGGCAATGCTACATTCACTGACCAAATTAGCACTATTGTCCACTGACAAGCAAGAAAAGCAAAAGATTGTTTGGCCTTTCTCAACCGCAGATGACATTTTTGTATTTTTTTTCTTACTTTACAATATGATGTAGGGCATGAGACCGAAATAAGTCAGTGTGACTAAGTAAAAACTCTTTGTACTAACCCACTCATCTGCAAGCTATTCCTGTGAAACAGAATAAATGACTGCTGGCCGGCAATGTCTGTACTGCAGGAACTTTGAACATGGAGGTGTTGAACAAATTACATGTTTCCACACAAAGAAAATAACACTTAAGGTATAACAACACAACTTTTTAAACTAAATTAAACTAATAGAACTTCAGTATTAGCAAAAGCTCCCATTAGTTTACGCAGCAACTTCTTTGTTCTCTTCCTTCACTTCTATAAATCTTTCAGACTCCCTCCTCCCCTTTGGCTGCCTCAGTTTGCTCGCTTCTTTTCAGTGCAATCATCACCTCTTTCTCAAAAGAGGTGACCCTGTACTAGCTTTACTTGGGTTGCTGGAAGGGCAACACCTGTATGTTTTATGCCCTTCGCAAGGACAAGAGATGTGGTGTCCTTTGAGAGAAAAATCATTGTCTGGTATGGCCCAATATATGTAGATCTGCAGAACATTAATTAACATACTAAAATCAACATCCTCACTAGTGTTTTCATAGCAAACAAATAGCTCTCTATCACTATGAAATTCTCAATTTCCTATTATTTCCATAATTTTCCCCTGGAATAAGCCATGTATACATTGTAGGTACTTGGGCCACTACGCCCTTCGTGCAATATCATCAGAGGCAACACGCAATTGCAAAGATGAAAAACAGAGGACTCTGTGATCAAAGATTTTAGTTATTTTCCAGAAATGCCTTTTTATTTAAGAAATCTACTTTATAACTTGTTCTGACAAATGTCACGGCTGCAGAAATTCTTCCTCTAAGGGAAGATTTACGATGCATAGGATAGTTTTCTTTCTCTGTATTTTTCAGGAGACTGGATTCATCAAATACAAACTGCTCTTTTATTTGTGTATCTGCATGTTCAGCACAAAGAAATGAAATACAAGAGTGGGAAAAAATGACAATACTCTTTATCTATAGGTAACTTTTTGGCCCAGAAAAATCATCCGGTGTGATCAACTGGAAAGTGCTGAGGTACTAGCCTACAACTATGTGGTAAGAACAGGACTTCCCGCAGAGAAAACTACGCTTATTCTGTTCTTCACGCTGGCCACCATGTTGGCAGGTACATCAATACCCCAGCAGATGGTTTTGAGCAGGGACTGCCAAAACACCACAGACAGGAGGTTGCCCTTCATGGGAGGATTTCAGCTGAGGAATATCCGCCTCTTGAGAGGTCATGGTACCAGCTGAAATGTCGCAGGGCACAGCCCAGAGCAGAAGTAATTGTAACATGTTTGGGACAGAAATGAGAATACAGGTTTCCTTCCCTGGAGAAGACTCCAAGGAACCAGCAGCAACCAAAACCTGTGACACAGCTCAGTTTTCCTCTGACTGGGTTGCAAATGCTTAGGGAGCTAACAGGCCTGTGACTCAAGGCTCAGTCTGGCCAGGGGCCATAACACAGATATTCTGAACTTAGAGTGGCGAGGACTGAGGCCATTTGTGCTTTCAAGTGGGGTTTCAAGAGCATAAGCTTAGTCAGCCTGTGAAGGACAAATGCAATTACAAAATCTGAGCAAGAACAGTCAATAAGGTCTTGTTTACAAGAAAGCCTCTCAATAACTTTTGTGCTCAAAGTTAAAAGGTTGCTCGAGTTCTTCCCTGAATCAGGACTGAATGCCAAAAATATCAGACTTAGCAGGTGACGAGAGGTTGTCAGCTGACCTCACTTGGATACAGTACCACCTTTTGCAAGCTTTTTTTTTTAAATTCATTAATACACTGATACACCTGAAAAGAAGATGATGAAAACATTTAAATGTGTTCTGATCTCTGGGAATCTGAGGTAACCTGCAGTCTCTCCCTCTGAAATGGACCTGAACTCTGGGTGCTGTATTTTTGTCACCTTCTGCTATTTTGGCTGTAGCATTCTCAAATTGCCCAGCCACCCAACTCAAACTAAGGACATTCAGCAATTTAAATCCCCAAAGAGAAGGCTGTCTTTGTGGTTTGCATATAAAACTGAGAAAAATACTACCCTTACCATTGAAGGATGATGCTTTAGGTAACCGGATGCTCTATTCTGAAGTCAAATAGCTGCTGCTGAATTAGTTTGCCCCATAAGCATACGGAACATTTTAAATCATGAAGGCCTGTACTTCACATAGTAGAGATTAAGTAATTTTGAACAATGTTTGTGACAAATGCAAAAAATATTATTTGATTACTTACAGTTTTAAAATGCCCAAGACAACATTCAAAAGTAATCGGATGCTCACAGTCGCTCTGCTCATCTCTTTGGTTAGGCTGATTATTACTGGTAAACAATATGATCTGTTTTTTTTTAAAAAATAGTCTTTACGCAATCCAATTGAAGACAAACTATGAAGTTTTAATATTTGGTTTGCATTTCTTCTCCCACTTATGAATTTCCCAATTCAGTACTTTTTATAAAAATCAAAGTATCATTTGCTGATATAAAAGGCATTGTAGCATATTTCCAATGTATACAGTATTTAAGTCCAGATTAAAGTAAATCAGCTATAAATTAGTGTATTTCACAAATAAAAATGCTCTTTATGTTTACATTTGAGGCTACAAACTAGTCTCAAACTGTTTAAAAGTAGGCACTTTTAACCTGTACTTGTCCAAAAATAATATTAATCATTTTCTGGTTATTAAATAACACCGACAGCACTTCTCTTTGTTGTATGCTTATCAGACCAAAAGGCACAGCTGATCATTGGGTATTATCAGCCTGAAGTAGGAACTGAAAAATAGCTTCAGTCTTCCTTGTTCTTCCTTATTCCCCTCATTTCAAGGAAAGGCAAAACACATACTTGAAGACAACAGTTGGGAGTTTTCCCCCAGAATAAGCCCCAGCAGCTGCCTCTTGTGCTTTCGGAACAGCTCGTTGAACCGTCTGCATCACTTGCACGTTCTTACGTGGGAAGACCTTCACTCCCACGGGCTGTAGCGGGCGGCAGCTGAAGCGAAGCGCTGATGCTGAGCACTACTCATCTGGTACGAACTTACAGGAATCCTTTCTTTGGCGACGCGTTGTTTAATCATGAAACAACGGTCTGCAGTGGACTTCATCCTGACCATGGCAACCCTCTCAGGTTATTCCAACACCTGGCCATATGTGTTGATGCAAACCCCATCCTATTTGTCCCTGAGCTGACAGTATTTGTTCCAACAGCGCTGGCTGTTTCAACAGGCTGTTAATATCCAGGTGAAGCCACGTAATTATTTCCCTGAGTATCCAGGGTAAGGAGGGGGTGGGGGATACTGTATCGAAGTCTGTGGAGTTGGAGTATAAGGTGGAGGTAGGTCAGCTGGGTACTCCATTTCGTATTCATAAGTGTATGGTGGTGGAGCCACTGAAATGGGAGAAAAAAGAAGACATAGTTAAAACTCTTTTTTTTCAGATGCAGGCCCTCAAGTATTTTCTAGTCGGCATTCAGGCTTCCATACCACAGATGTAAAGTCTCCTGGCAATGTGCTTACTTTTTTTTCAGACTGTCATTATATAGGCACTTTATATCAATGTAAGTTCTTGCTTACTGCCCTTTCCTTCACTGCTTAGCTGTGTGCCCACTGACATGTTGTGCTGGTAACAGTGTTTGAGTGGCCGTATGGCAGACGATACCAAGATGTGGCAGAGCTAAACTTTTTCAGGGGAGGAAGGTTGGGCTTTTATCAGATCCATTCCCTTTCACCCCTTTCAGCAGCAGCATGGACTTATGTCATTGCAAACTGACATTGTATCCAGGTCTTTTGCTGATCTCCACAGACCGCTCAACCACGCTCTGGATCGCCAGGAGATGTGTGCCGTGTCATGCCATGCCACGCCAAACGCAGCTGAAAGCTCCTGACAGCACAGCACTGTCACATCTTCCAGGGTGGACGTGTTCCCAGGGCTCAGGCTGAGGAAGAAGAAAGCTTTCGCCATGTTCACCCCAACAGAGACATCTGAGGAGAACCCTGTATTTCTAAACTGAGTCAGGCATTTAGAAAACAACAAAAATATTCACAAACAGCTGAAAACACTTTCTCAACTACTTTTAATAACCTTACAGAGGAAGGATTAATTCCATGATCAAAAAGACAGTAAATGCTGCAGAATGATGGCACGGTAGGAACCGAAGGCTCCATATCAAGACCTCATTGGAGTCCAGAGTCTGCTTCTTCTCTGTTCACGTCACCATGGATGCTTTCCTGTCCCCTCCCTAGATGTCTCAGGCAGACTGGCAGTGAAATAGCACTCGAATAGAGAGGAAACAGAAACATAGGATGTTTGTGATGGGGGGAAGAGGCTCAAACCCCAGTGTGCCATGAAAAGCACTCCCTGCTCTCTGAACACCCGGCTGCCATGGTGGCTGAGGCCAAAGTAAGGGCATCCCCTCGCTTGCCGCTCCTGTCCAAAACAGTCGCCAAGGAGACCAGCTCCAGTGCAGGTAAGGCTGCACTGTGGAAGGGAATCGAGGAGGATAAAGCTGGCAAAGGGCTCTTTTTGGGGGCTTTCGAAGCCGGGAAAAGCGGCTAGTTTGTGCTGGAACCGGCAGCTCGGGGGTGGGCTGCTGAGGTGGCAGGGGCGGAGACAACACCACGAAGCAGTTCTAAACAGATGGTCCCAGAGCGCTGGCCGGCACATGGGGAGCCAGTAGGCATCACCCAGGGCGTCACTGCGGCACTGCAGTGGGTGCGGGTGAACAGGGCGCCGCATTTCACACGGTAGGTCACTGAAAGCCTTGCGTCAAAGCTGAGCAGAAGCTGGGCAAGCGCAAGCGGAGGAACATCAGCGTGCAGAGGCACGGGCTCAGGGTGTGTGGGAAGTCGACAGCAGAGATTCATCACCTCCCGGCACAAGAGAAGAACATGGCCGCAAAACGGTCAAAAGCCGCTGTAAGAAAGAATGCGGGAACTCAGACTGATCTCCCATGAAAGCACATGGCTGTGCAGGTCTCGGGCTGCAACAAATGCATGAGCCTGGCACTGCTCTCACAGGGAGCCAGAGATACTGGCTGTGTATGGTGTGATCAAGTAAATGATCTGCTCAGGCAGGTGGTTGAACTGAGGGAAGAGGTAGAAAGGTTAAGAAGTATTAGAGACTGTGAAAATGAAACAGATTGGTGGAGCCATACCCTGAGGCAAAGGCAGCAGGAAGAGGCCCTATCAGAAGTGGATGATCCCCTACCCTCCTGTCACCAGGCAGAAGGAGGGGACCTAAGGGATAAGGGAGAGTGGAGTCAGAAACTTCCTCGGGGAGGCAAGTGAAACCCCTCACGGCCCCCCTCACCATCCTAATTGCCTTTGCATAATAGGTATGGGGCTTTGGAAATCGAGGACCAGGTGATTGAGGATGGAGAGGATGATCCATCCAGTGAGTCGCCCAGTGCTAGTCACTCACCCCCACACCTCAGGACTTCCTCTACCAAGAAAGAAAGGTAATTGTAGTAGGTGACTCCCTTCTGAGGGGAACAGAGGGCTCCAGTTGTAGACCGGACCCATCCCACAGGGAAGTCAGCTGCCTCCCTGGGGCCAGAATTAAGGACATATGGAGAAAACTCCCTTCCCTGGTTCAGACATCATATTACTACCCACTACTGATATTTCAGGTAGGTGGTGATGAGATAGGTACCAGAAGTCTAAGGGCAATGACTTTAGGGCCCTGAGACAGCTGGTTAAGGGATCAGAAGCACAAATAGTGTTCTCCTCTATCCCACCATTTGCAGGCGTTGACAAGGGGATAAATAGGAGGAGCCAGCAAATTAACTCCTGGCTCCGAGACTGGTGCATCCGGCAGAACTTTGGCTTCTTTGATCAGGGGCTGATCTACAGGAAACCAGGCATGCTGAGCATGATCATGTGCAAATTAAGGCTTGTTCCCCCAAGAAAGTGGCAGGACAATTAGCCCAGCTGAAGTGCATCTACACTAATGCACGCAGCATGGGGAATAAACAGGAGGAGCTGGAGGCCATTGTACAGCAAGGAAACTATAATATAGCTGTCATAACAGAAATGTGGTGGGAAGACACACGCAAGTGGAGTACTGTAATCGATGGCTACCAGCTTTTCAAAAGAGATAAGCAAGCAAGGAAGGAGAGGTGGTGGGGTGGCCCTCTATGTTAGGGGCAGTTTTGAATGTTTAGAATTTAACAGTGTGAAGGACAGTGTTGAGTGTGTATGGATAAGAATTAAGGGGAAGGCCAACAAGGCAGACATCGTGATGGGAGTTTGTTATAGACCCCCTAATCAGGATGTAGAAACTGATGAAATATTCTATAAGCAGCTGGCAGAGGTCTCACGATCATCTCCCCTTGTTCTCGTGGGGGACTTCAACTTCCCAGATGTCTGCTGGAAATACTACGCAGCAGAGAGGGAACAGTCCCGGAGGTTCCTGGAGTGTGTGGAAGACAACTTCCTAACAGAGCTGGTGAAGGAACCAACTCGGGGAAGTGCCCTACTGGACCTACTGTTTGTTAACAGAGAAGGTCTTGTGGGGGATGTAAAGGCTGGAGGTCGTCTTGGGCACAGTGATCATGAAATGGTAGAATTTTAAATTCTTGGTGAAGCAAGCGGGAAAGCCAGCAGAACTGCCACCTTGGACTTCCGAAGGGCAGACTTTAGCCTGTTCAGGACCATGGTTGAGAGTGTCCCTTGGGAGGCAGTTTTGAAGGGCAAAGGTGCCCAGGAAGGCTGGTCTTACTTCAAGCA